TTATTATTATTATTATTATTATTATTATTATTATTATTATTATCATTATTATTATCATTATTATTATCATTATTATTATCATTATTATCATTAGGAAGTGGTCATTTTCTGCTAAGGAGCATGGAAATCGTCATTTCTCCTGCCCTGTTAACTGAAAAAATTGCAGTTGTACCCAACAGGAAATGATGGTACAGTGGTGCCTCGCATAATGAGCGCACCGTTTAACGATGAATTCGCATAGCGATCCGTTTTTTGGGATCGCTAATGCGATTGCATACCGATGCTTTCTATGGCTGAAAATCGCTTTGCGATGATCGGTAAGCGTTTCGCTTACCGATTTTCGCATAGCGATTTTTAAAAACAGCTGATCGGCCGTTCCAAAATGGCTGCCGGACGGCCAAAAGGGCAGCATGCAGCGTTTTCGCACCCTGCCCTCGCTTACCGAGGGCGCGAAAATGGCGGCCGGATGGGGAAACATCACAGAACGGTGAGTTTTGGGCCCCATTGGGGTCCCTGTCCTTCCTTTTAAAGTAAAGGCACTGTTATTTTGTTACTTGAGTTGGAAAGTGCATGCCTCCTAGTGTAACATATGGGTAGTGCAGGTCACCAGAAAACCCATGGAGCAAAGGAAGGGAAATATCCTTCAAGGCAGCCTTGAGTCAGATGGGAACTGAGCCGGGCTTGAACATTTTTCACACTGGACGAAATCCACATTTCACCTGGGAAATAATGGGAGATTTTGCTCCCCGAGGCACAGACAGATATTTTATTTTTACCTTTTAAATGGCAAACCTCAAAAGCATCTCTTCCCCTTTTTGTCAGGAAAGAAAAATGCAACAAGGATGAAGTAAAGAACAAATTACTTTTTCTTGATACTCTAAATCGCTTATGCAAAGCAAATGAGGAGGAGCCCTTGCAAAAGAAACATCTGCCTCCACCCCCACCCAACAGTAGGGCTGGCCTTAAGAGGGACCAAGGGTCAAATTATACATTATAAGATAACCCCTCATTAGGGGTTGCCTTAGCTCTTCAGAAATGTGATTCAGACAGACTTTAGTGTCTGAGAAATCGGACTTACAAAGGAAGAACCATGCTTGCGTCCTGAGGACTTGTCACAAAAAAGAGGATGCTAATCTGCTTACTCTGGGAGATACAGTAACAATCACATCCAACCAGCATTTAAGGAATTCCCTCTTTTGACAATGGGTTGTCTATAATGTATTATTTGCTCCCAAACCATTTCTTGGTGAACTTTGGTACAGTGTGTGTGTGTGTGTGTGTGTGTGTGTCTGTATTCACTACGTAAAATAAAAGAGTTTAAAGTGGACTCAATGTTTTATTTTTGTGTGTGTGTGTTTGTGTGTGTGTGTGTTCACTACATAAATTTAAAAAGGGTTTAAAGCGGACTCAGGGTTATATTTGTTGCTACTGTTTTGTGTCTGATTGATTAAGTTCTTTTCTTTCAAGGATTAATAACCGAGACCTGAGATAATGCCTTCACAGATTCCTGAATTGTAAAGGCTTGAAAACACCATGCGGCAGAGGGAAGGTCTAGGGCCCTCGTCATTTTTTCCTATGTAGGATTCTGTGGCCTCACCAAGATGCTTCCTTTGTTTCAGCCCCATGGTGCCAAGAGAATCAAATACCCCTGAAGTTATTAAGCACTTGGTGGGGGGGGGGGAGAGAAGGAGACTCATTTTCTAGTCCAGTTCCTTTGATGCCGCTGTTCTGTCATGTAAGGATCTGCCTCCCTTGCCATTTGAATGACAGCGCCTTGTCTATAAATTTGAGCAATTAAGCAGCCCAGTAGCAGCTGGTAAACGAGACTTGCTGAAAGAGAGAGGAAACGTCGAAAGAAGCTGCCAGATCGGGTCTCCTGACTTTTGCAAAGAACGGGTGTCCAATTAGAACTCCGTAGGAGAAAATGAGTGGCGTGTCCGTCAAGCTAGGTAAGAGCCTTTCCTGACATTTGCTGGAAGTTGGGTCACACACGCGTTGGTTCGTTTGGAAAGAAGAACCAGGAGAAGTCACAGAACGAGCTCAAAAATATTACTTAAATAAGACAGTGTTTGTATGTTTTAAGATGAGATTTGAGAACCAGGAAGTCTGCTTTTAGAGTTGGAAAAAGTCCAGACTGGTCAGCAAATTAGGACAGGGTCAGTCCTTAAGTGTCTCCAGAGACAGATGGTGAGGGCCAGTAGTCCAGTCATCTCTGGAGAGGCCTCTGGCAGTGTCCCTCTTGGAGAACTTAGCTTACCTTGCGTTCCGTCAACTAGGTCGTTACATGAAGTTGATGGAAGGCCACACACCATTTCAAGTGTTGAAAATAAGGTTCACCTGCCAGACCAGTTGGATCCTGTGTGGAATGGACAAGGGGGCACCGTCTTTGCCTCAGGCAGCAAAAGAGCTGATCCTGAATGTATATACAGTATTATAGAGCCGTTCAACTCTTCTAATACTCTGAACTGAGAGGAAAGCCATTGCATCAGCTATGGGTCAATTCACCTG